ATGGAAGGATGGACAGGTTGCAGGGTTTAAATATTTTTCTTTTTAGATTAAGTAGCAGTATTCAAACTAATGAGGCAATTAAAAGCCTAAATGCTTAGTGTCTCATATGTTCATACTCAAGATGCGAGGCTTAAGATGAGATACTCTAAAAAGAGAATTTCTGTCATTTGACCTAGTCTCTTCCATTCTTTCCTCTGAAAGCTGGCTCATTTATTTTGAGATAAGGTGTCCAAAAGTATTCTTGGCATGTATTGTTTAAGATGTGTATATTTTATTGTGAATAGTAATTGTCAGATCCTTCAGAAGACAATTTTCAGTTTTAAGTTGAAGTTGTTAGCTTAAAAGCTTATTTTAAGGGCTTCTTCTTAGTACTACTGTTTCAGAGGATTTAAGAACCATAAAATACTTTCAGTTTTCATGCTGAAGCAGACATAAGAGGCACAGAAACTTCCTTATTCTCACAGAAAATTTTGAAGGACACTTCGAATGTGGCATCTTAAAAAAAAAAAAAATGTTGTCTTTGTGCAGTCATTGCATGTTGATATTTACCTTTGTATTGTTTCATTTCAGTAAGGTAGTTACTGACTTAAATTATTTTGAAATGTTTGTATTACAGATGTATGACTTCTCATACCAAATTCTAAAACACTGGTTCTTTTTCAGTTTAAAGTTCACTATTCCTTTGTGAAGAAAAGCACGTTATGCCCCTTAAAGGTACATTTCATTAATCCAGAAGTCATTCTTTATAACGTAATTACTTTTATAATTATGTCAGAACCTTGTCTTTTGTTATGAACTATGTAATTGACTATACATTTCAAAGCTTATTGTAACTGACAGCTTGTGGTTGACCTTGTCCTTGCATACATATTAAATATAAACAGGATGATTCATTGTGTTTCAAATTTTAGTTTCTTCTTGCATTTTTTTCTGTTATGCCTGCTTTCTCCCCTCCCCCCTCCTGCTCCCCTTTGAGGGCAATAGTAGAAGGATTTACAGTTTGCTGCTTCTTCCTTTGTAGGACTCTTCTTTTGCCCTAAAACCACTGTTTCTGTTTCATTCTTTACTTGGGTAAGTCTTCGTACCCTGAAACTGTGTATTCACAGACAAGTAGTGTGGGCCTGTTGAGGCTTATCTGCAATGTGAACTGGTTTGTGCTCAGGATCTGATATTCCCTCTTTAGATGTTTCACATGTTTTTTACATTGGTCTAGCTCTAATCTGGACGCGTAGGCTGAATGCCCAATTTTCCCTGGAGTGCACTGGGTTCTTTCCTGGAGCACATGTCCTGGTTTAGTCTCATCTGAAAAGAGACTAGTTCCTGCACACTCAGGCCACTCCACAGTGTGAACCACAGTGAAGTCAGTGGGGACAATGGAGAAATTAACTTCAAAATGATACTCCTGATCTGAACTGAAAGAGTAACCCTGGGACGTTTTTCTGCCGGCGAAGAGTTGTACAATGCTAAAGTACCTCCATTACAAATCATTTGTGCAAAGCAAGGAGAAGAACAAAGCAGTTCTAGTAAGAAGATTGGTGACAGGTCTGAAGATCAGGAATTGCCATGCAGATAACAGCAAGATCTTTAGATCATGGCTGCATTCACCCTCAGTGGGAATGAGATATTATACATCTCCATCTATTCATAAAAATCTAGGCTTATGTCACAATGTGATTTTTTTTTTTTTAAAGGAGTTTTTTAATCAAAATTTCAGGGTAGCTCTGTCCATTTTGGGGGGAGGAAGGATACAGGGAGATTCTTTCCTTCTAACTTCAAATTACAGCTATAGGAAAAGACAGTATAACATTTCATTTTAACTAGTATTTACTAAAATATTTGCTTTACATGATTTTTCAGTAATATGGAGTCATAATATTTTATGGTTGCCAAGTGAGCAAGAGGGGTTGTCAGAGTAAAAATAAAAGTTTAAATGCTTTGCACTTGGTTAGTACAAAACAAACAAACAAATTCCGAGAATGTTTAGTTGAGACATTTATCTTGAGTAGGTGACAAAAATGCAGACACGTGGCAGCCTAGATGCAAGACAAATGTCTGTTTCAAGTCTGTTCTGGAAATTTGTACATTTTGAAGTGGGTGGCATGTTTTCAAAAAACAAAAGGGAATAAGTGCTTCATTGTTTCAAGCCTCATTAGACTTTTAATAAACAGAGTGGAGGCTGAGGAAGAATGTTCAAACAGTTGAAAGCCCTATATATTTTAAGTGAGCTGCATTCCAGAAGGCTCTCAAATAACTACTGTTTTCTTTCTTGCATCTTTTTCCTTTATAATCAAACGCATAATGTGTCTTGGCTGACATTTTTGATTGCTCCCAATAATGGGGATGATTTATAATACGTAGCACTATTGTATTCATAGTGTAACATTCCCAGTCATGTTACATGATTATTGTACAGATATGTAATGTATGAGGGTTTCTTTTCCTAGGTGTGTGTATGTTAAAAGTATTTAAATTGGGAATTAAAGGGTATCAAAAGAGGGGGGACATGGACTTTAAAAATTAAGACTGTAGTATTTGGCAATTTGAGCAATGTGGTATGGCAAGATTTTTGGGATTTCCATGTAACTTGGGTTCAAATGATGTTGACTTTTAAATTCTAGCAGTTTTTATATAAACTGATCTGTAGTGGGAAAAAAAATTAGCAGTGTCAGTGGTACGAGAAAAGTCAGAGATTTGGGCAGATGCATGTAAGAGCAGCTTGGGGATGTTGGTACACCTGGTATCAGAGCATGTAGTGTGGAAAAAGACAATGACATTGATTAAACTTTTGATTATTGAAGTACTTTTTTTGTTAAATTGACATTAAAAAGTCAAAGGCTGACAATTTTAATTATCTGTAACAATCAATTTACACTTTAAGAGGTCTTAGGTCATTTGAACTTTGTAAGGACTGCAGCTGTGGTCTCTAGTTAAATTGTGAAGATTAGAAACTGGTGTTTAAAGACACCAGTGTAGTTAGAATTATATGTTCAAGAGGTCTAGTATAAAGTGTGTCTGCTATTTCCACCCTGTTTTGGGGAAAACTTAGATGTTATGTAGCATCTCTGAGATTAGATCATGGGAAAAAATGCAGTGAATTTCCTTTTAATGTAGTAAATGTATTACTTGCATTCTGTTCTACTACAGCTGTTTTGAGGATGCTACTAGGGCTTTTTTTTTTTTCTTCTCTTAAAGTGCTATAGTAAGCATAAATGCAATTTAAAGGAAATCCGGAGACTAGATAACTTAAACTTAACTGTAAGAAGTGGCATTAATTAATTATGTGAACTAGCATGTAAGCATATGCTCCTCTCACTTAGATATAAGTGGAGGAGATGGGCTGGCCCCTAGGTGGTCTTCTTTGTGTTCAGCCCTGTGCAGGTTTTGTAGTTGCTTTCACTGTTATAGGATAACATCATTCAGAGGTCATTTCCTTCTTTTCCATGTCTTCACTTGGTTTGTGTGGTGCTGCCTGATCAAATCATTAATGACACTCTGAATACCTAAAGGAAAATGTTTGGTAAAGTGTTTGCAGGCATACCAGTGGTCTGTAGAAACGTGCAATGTAATAAATCCTAACAGGCATTAACATGGAAGGTTAAACTTCGCGCCTTGAGCTGTTGTCCTTTTCTCCTTACAAAGTTGTCGTTTTCTTCTGCTGTCCTCCAGAAGAATTAGGTTGTTGCTTGTTTGTCTAATAAAAATGTTTATGGAGGAAGCATTTGATGTGATGAATTGGAAAGGAACTTAAGCTAAATAAAAAGTTAGTATGTTAGCGACTTATTCTAACTGTTTTATAATATAATGGAAAAATAGGTGAATGGGGGTTTGAGGTGAGAATTTTGTATATATCTAGGTATTTCAGGAAGTGTCATTTGAAACCTGATGGTGAAGCTTTAAAGAGTAAGTGTATTTTGCTGGCTCTGCATAGTTGATACTTATGTGTGAAATAATGTGTTGTGTATCGTCAATAGTTCAGAAAAGGGCGGGCGTCCTAGAGGTGGAGAAGAGTGGCCATGCTATTGTTGTACCACCTTGGAGAGATTTGAGAACTAAAAATCATACTGGCCAAGCTGAGGTAGCCCTCAGAAGCTACTTGACATTTAGTCTCTTCCAGTATTCTGTAGGTGGTTCCACTCTCTAGAAACTCCAGGTCACCTTTGTGTTGTATTCTCTAATGCAGCTTCCTCCCTCCTCTCTTTATAGGCTTGTACAGGTTAGCTCAGTGCCCTTCCTCAGTTTGCCATAGTAATCCAATTTCTAGCTAGATCTAGAACTTTTATAGCCCTTTTTAGTCCTTCATTTTATATGGCATAAATAGGGCAGAGATGAATATTTTGCTGTAACTGAAAATTTTATCTGCTGTTCTTGTCTATGCTTTCTTCCTACAGGTTTTTTTTTTCCTCCATCGCATGCTTTTAAACTAAACTTTGAATTCTAGTCACTAAGAAAGCAATAACAATTTTCAAAGCTTACATTTAGGAGTACTTAGTGTGTGTCTGTTACTTTTTGAAATGGTAACTTAATTTTCATTCTTAGCTTGTATTGAATATTTGTAAAAGTCAGAAAAATGGTCATGAAAAAAATTATATATGTAGCAAAGATGGGAAGCCTGAAAACCAAGACTCTAGAGAAGAATTTTTAACTGGTTTCTTTCCAATTTTAGTAATTGTGAGTGACTCAGGATATTAATGAGAACTTGTCTAGAGCACCCAAGAATTTTGTAGAGGAAGTAAAGCCTGTCCAGGAATATAGAGGTTGCAGACTTCTTTTTCTCACAATGCTTGTCAGGATTACGTCTATAAATGCCTTTTATTTGTATCCTACACCATTTTAAAAGTTATGATTTTTTTTCTTCTCACTTGTATTTTTGTTGTGATTTAAAAAAGAGGTCTCAGCTGACTAGCTTGAAGAATTTGCTGTGTTTAAAAAAAAAAAAAGGCAGTGATGAGCCTGAAAACACCCCTGTATATGTATAATAATGCAGTTTTCTCTTTTCTTTCAGAATTTCCAAAACGTGTATGGTTTTGAATTCCAACAAAAGACTAGAAATCAGAAAAATCTTCACATTCCTTTGAATAAGAAGTCATAATGCAACGAAGGCAGGGAAGAGTCAGTGCTGGACTGCTTTTGCTGCTTTATCAAATTTCTCAAGTTGGGCTCCAGAACATTCCTTCTGTTACCCTTGGGGTACTTGCACTGAATATTTTTCTCTTTCTGAATCCTGTGAGGCCACTGTCTGAAGTGTGCATCAGTGTAAAGGAAGGTTTCTACAGAAAGAACTGGCAGCGTTTACTGCTTTCTCCTGTCCACCATGCAGACGACTGGCACTTATATTACAACATGATTTCCATGCTTTGGAAGGGGATAATGCTGGAAAAAAAGCTTAAGAGCATATGGTTTGCATACATAATTGTAGTATTTTCAGTGCTGATTGGAGTTGTTTATATGGTGCTGGAATTCATGCTTGTGAAAATTCTGGATGATCCTTCGTATGAAATGAATTGTGCTGTAGGTTTTTCAGGTAAGGCACATAGTACAATTTACATATGTAAAGTTAATACTTAAAGATTCTATATAGTAATATTTGAATGCAGGAAATGGATAGGTCTACATCCATATGCATGTATGTGGTTGGTATGTCAATAAAGTTATCCTATTTTTTAATTTAAAGCATGTACTCATGCTGTTGTTGGGAGCTAGCATTAGAAGGTAAGCCCTCCTTTCCAACCTGTGAGATAGGTGCTTCAGCACCTCTGAGGTATTTGAATTGGTACTAGTTGGAACATCCTGGTAGTTTCTCATTTGGAGCTTTGCATATTCTCTGGTCACCCACCTTTTGGTAACGAAACATGCTCAGTTCTAGTCTTGGCCTTTATGGTGGCTGTGGGGGCCCTGACTTTCCCTGAGGGGTTTTGCTGCCCGTGCTCAAGAACGGCTCTGATACGGGGCAGCTGCCACCCACCTCAGACTGCTGGGAAAAGAGGTGTGTGAGATGGCCGAGAGAAGCCTCACCGGGGACCTTTTCCCGCATTGTTCACCAGCTGGTTTGAAGCTCAAGCCCTCTGCGTCATCCCTGTCTGAGCTACATTGCATCTGTGCCTGGCATTGTGCTTCTCTGACCTAGGCCCTGACTTGACTTCCCGACTTTCTTTGGCACCGCTTTGTCAGGAGGATGTGCCTGGTGACCTGGGGTCCTGGCCAGCCCCTAACAGTGTCACCAGCCTGCCCTGTGCACTTTGCCCAAGGACTACGGATCTGGGCCCCTGCTGGGGAGGTTGTCGCCTGCCTCCCTGCTCCCTTTGGATGCACTTCCTTTGCAGAGCATCTCGCTCTTTAACAGTGACTGCAGAACCCTACTGCATATTTATTATTGGTGGTAAAATGACTGAAATATGTGCACCCAATCCAGTTTCAGCTGGACTTTATAGGGTTACTTTTTATATGGTACTCCGAACTGTTGCTGGCTGATCCACGGGGCAATATGCTTTGTAATATTATTCTCTGTGAACAACTTAGAGGTGCTGTCATCAAGCTTCTTTTGAACCTCTTGTGTCATCCTAGACTGTAGGATGACAAGTTGAGACCTAGAAGTTGTGAAGAAGTATCCGTTTTGAGTATTCACTTATATAACGCATCATCCATGTGAGGTTTTTCCTATATGTTTCTGTCAGTTCATACCATAAAACAACTTGGCATCAAACCAGTTCTTACTAGGAGTGAGAAGGGTGAATATTTCAAAAAATTATGATGAAACTTCCTTATACTGCATAACTGGGAATATAATACTATTGTATAATGGGGTAGTGTTGAGATTCCACTGTATAATTTTTTTTCACCAGATTAGTCTCCAGCTTCTCACTTAGCCAGATAGCAACTTGTATGTCCCTCTTTTCAATTGAACAGAAGGGAGGTTAGATTTAGTGATATAATTATCCAGGTGATGCACCTCTATGGCTTCCTGTGCTTTATGGCAAAAGAGACCAAGTCACTGAACGGCAGTGGTGCTGGTAGGCAGGGCAAGCATCAGTGATGAGCCAGATGGGGTCCCCATTTCGTTCTTTACGAGAGACTCGTGTCAGCCATACTACAATACTGGCCGGAGTGTATATTTTGGATTTTTTAGTGAGCTAAAAAGAAGTGGGAGTAAGCCTCTAATCTACTAAACCATTTGTGCAGAGGACAAAAAGTCGAGTTTTTTGTCAATTTAGGGATTACCTAATTGGATTTTAATTTACATGTTCTGCAAGATGGATAGTTCAGATCTAGCATCGAGCATTACAACCTTTTCTGATGTGACTTATCTTCTGCAGCATCTTTTGAGTATTCCAAGCTTGGAAATGTGGGACTGCAGCTGATGTGCATGTGCATTTGACCATTATTCATGCAGCAAATTAAAGTAGCTCTGACAGAGTTAGTATCTATGATTGATCTTTCTAAACCTTCAACATCCTCAACATGACCTTCAGCATAGGTAATGTCTCTTCAGTTGGGGCAAGTGGCATGTATGCGGAGCAGCTGTTGAAGCAAATATGAGTATTTTCCTGATAACTGTTTCTTCAAGAGTCAATCTGTATGCATGTTTATGACCCATTCACTTTACCAGGTTTTAAGAGGTTTAGGATGCCCGGGGTTTTTATTATTATTTTATTTTAAATGGTTGAAACAGACCTGCCTCTTGTCGCCCTGGATGGACCTGACAGTGCACCAGGTCAGGCAGTTCCAATGGACACTTAAACCTTAAAAATAATAATAAAAAAATAAAATTGAAGCTGTACAGACAGGGTTTGTGTAAGCCAAGGGTGGACTGGATGGAGATGACTTCTAAATTATGCTGCTGCTATCAAATATTTCTCTCCTTTAGTAAATGTATAGTTTCTGAACAAGTCCAGTTTTATCAGCAGCAAGTAGCTTGAGCATGTGGGTATGTGCATGCACACAGTCCTGTTTATATTTGATCCTAGAATAACAATATTTACATCACTGGATAGATTAAGGAATTTTGCTATCTCTTGTTTTCTGCTTTGTTAAAACCTTTTTCATGTTTTTATTTAGTATATCTATATTGATGTTCAACTCTGCTATCTTTTCCATGTCAAATCTTTTGTTCAATAATCTTTCAGATTTTTTCTTTTTTTTTTTTTTTTACAACTGTGTGAGCTTTTTCTTGAGAGGAACTTTTTCAAAAACATTTTGAAAGTTCCAGTAAATTATGTGAATTCATTCTGCCATATTGGCTATTGCTTGCATGATAAAACAGTTGCAGTCAGTTAGAAATGAATGATTATTTATTGTAGTGAAAGGTGATTTATCTACTTTTTTTCAGAAACAAGTGATTCTGGAATATATGGAAGATGATTTTTCCATTAATTCAAAATTTGAGCCTGCTGTGGAGCTTCACATGCATCTATTTGTCTTGCTTTCAGTAATGGCTTTTCTCAACTTGCAGAACATTTTTTTGATTCAATAATTTTGTCAAATATTTAAACTAAACCTCCCATTTTTAAATTATCTTTGTATTGTTTTGAATACCTGAATAGCTACAGTAAGTAGGCATATTAAAAAGCAACTCCGAATTGGCTGTTACACAAGCATGTAATTTTTTTATCTTTTTTTTTTTCAAGTCACTGAAATGTATGACTGAAAAAACAGCTTAGAACTGTTTTTCTGGCATGCAACAGCATGCTTTGTGGTCCTGTGAAACTGCAGGGTACCTCAATTTCAGTAGTTAAGTTGTTTGCATTTCTTTTTTATTTGGGCTCAAGTACTTCCCTCTTTATGTGATTTCTTCTTGTTTGCAGGAGTCTTGTTTGCTTTGAAAGTTCTTAACAACCATTACAATCCAGGAAGAGTCAGCAGTGTCCTTGGATTGCAGATACCCAGTAAATACGCTTGTTGGGTGGAGCTGGTGGCTATTCATTTAATCTCCCCAGGGTAAGTGTGTTTAATATTTCAAAGTTAGGAGAAGAGATTTGGGCTATCTGAAGTAGTTCGAAAGGTATTATGAAGTATGTGTAGTGTGGTATGCAAATGGAGTGTTGGAGCTACAATTTAGTGTGGAGGCTACGTTCTGCTTTTTCCTTAACACCCTGTATTTTGACCACGTTTCCAAATAAAAAACTGAAATACTGTAGCCAGAAGGTATTACTAAGGATTTGAGGGAAGATAGCAAAAGTTGATGGACAAGGAAAAGGGACATGCATTTTCAGCAAAGTAACAAAACTAATGTACTGTAGTGCCAAGGGCTTATTTAGAAAAACAGCATTCCACTGTTTGCTTGCTATTTCTCTCCTAGTCCCTTCTGTCCATTTGTTACAGTTACTCCTCTAATTTATGATAAAGCTGTCATCCAGTATTCTACAAATTTTATGCAGTTTTACTGTCCTGCAGTCTTGCTGATCGCTTCCCTCAATTTTCCTGTGCGCTCGGTTCTGCCAGCACAGTTCATTTGCCCTTACCTCTGTGAGAATAGTGCCTTTCTTTTCTTTGGCAGTTGATTTCTGGAGTCCTAGTTGCAAATCAGTCATTTTCTTGTATAATATTTTATATCTGTCAGTCATATTAGAGAATGTATGCATAGTACAGACACCAAATTTATGAACTACCAAATCACAGTTTATGTATAATTTCCCGTTTTTCAGAAAGGTTAAAAAAAAAAAAAGAGGGGAGCAAGACTGTCATACTCTTCACCAGATGCTATGATATAACAGATAAAACATTTCCTAGAGCCGCATGAGAATTCAAATATTACTTACTTTAAACACTGATTTTATTGCTTTATGACTTCGTGCCCGATTGACTGCAGCAAGGAATCCTAGGTTGAAAGACAGAAGAACTGCACAGTGCTCTGTTTCAAACGCAGTTTTAAGTGTGAACTGAGAGGTCACTTGCATGGCATTACTACAGGTATAAACCCAATTTTTTTCAGTGCATTAAAAACATTCTAAAAATATAAACTGTCACGTTAGCTGAACATAGTTTTCATTTGGTGATATGTTTAATATGACTATTATTAAAGAATAATGAAAGGACATTGTCTGAAGTAAAACCATGAGCATATCATACTGTATCTGGTAGAGGAAAACATGAGTTTAGTCATTGGGTGCTGTTGTTTTTCAGTTGCCTTACTGCAGAAATGTCTTTGGGGTAGAAAATGTATGTAAGGTCCAGAAATAATATCTAAAAACTTTTCATAATGTTATGGAAGCTTAGATTGCTGCCTGGTCTAAAGAACCTCTGCATGGTTAGATGCAATCCTGACAGGACAATTTCACAGCACTTAAATGATAATGGGAGCCATAGAAAACAAGTAGTAATCTCCAGAAATTCATGTCCCAGAACACATCATCTTTAATTAGTAACTGCCAACTGCCTTGAAATGAACCATGACAATTGTAGCTCTCAGAGCATTGCTCTTACACGCTCATCTGCGTGCTAAGGGCATGTTGTAATATTTGAAGTGTCTGATTAAATGGTGTCCCTTTGTGGATCAAGTTGCATGATTTAGTTTTGAACAGATAAAAGGTTAGTAATTGGAGCAGAATTCTGGCCAGTCAGAAAGATATGCAGTAAATTTGGGCCTGCCTTAGTTGAATGATGTGTCAGGATCACCTGAGAATCCATACCAATGAAGGATTCAAAAGTAATATTGAGGCTATTGACAACTTTGATTTTTTTTTTTTTTTTTTAATTTTTAATACTGTTCATTGATGAGAACTGTTCCTCAGGAACAAAAGGGCTAAGAACAACCAACCAATAAAATCCCAGGTTTGACACAAATGGCATTACATGATGAGAACCATTTTATAGCCTTTTATTCTTTTGTCAAACTTAGCTTTTACTTTCCTATGCTATTTGCCCATTGTGTTAAAAAATTACTGAGAAGTTTCCCATCTCTATTTAAAGAAGCAATGTCATTTTCCTGTATAGGGCTGTGTAAAACAAGTTTACTTTTACTTATGCAGTCTTTTAGTTTGGTTTAATTTGCATTCAGATAGGTTGTTTAGCACTGGTAAATTGACTACATGGCATACTTTCTAAGCAAGATCAAGTTTTGTAGCAAAGTGTATAAATTGTCATGTGCATGTGACTGTGCCTGTGTTAATTTGGAAATAAACCATGTATAAATACATGGATTTGATTCCCATGATCTCAAAAAAATCGTTGTTTTTCAAAACTAAAGTTGTTCTACGTTCTTCTAGTACATCATTTTGATATTATTCCTTTGTTTGCTTGTTCAGTGAATGCATGCTTCCTAGCCTTGGAGTAGGAGACGCATGGAAGTACGAACTTTTTGCAAAAGACTGCAGCAACGGCTTGAGCTAAAGACATACTTTTGTTGCTAAGTATGTGGCTTCGTCCTGTGGTAGAATTGTGTGCATAGATAATAATGGCTACCAGGCTTTGCAGTTTGCTGTTGGGAAGAAGTTATGCAAATTAAGTGATAGGTGTAGACTTTCTTGCTCTGTTTTTATTTGTTGAGTCAGGTGACTGACACCACAGAATTGAAACAATTCAGGATAAATTCACCCACAGTGATGAGGAATTGTTTTCAATTCATTTTAAGGACACTGGAAGAATATTAGTGTAAAAAAGTACTGAGAGGCTTGTAAACATTGGGTGAGAATCTCTCGTATGTGAAAAGCAAAACCAGTCCAAATGGTTTTTCCTCTAGTGATACCAGTTTTCATGGAAATTACACAGCCAAATGAAAGAGTATAATTAATTCTGTTTAGAAGATTTTTTCTGAAGTGATGTGCACATCAGCTTGATGGCGAATGTCTTCAGGAAGCAGTATTTAGACATATTGCATAATTAACATTAGTATGAAGTGAATGGTTGAGATAAATAAGATCTCTGGGGATATCTACATTTTCAAACAAAAAAATTAAATGAGACATCATTTGAATTTCTTTGTACCAGGGAGAACATTAGTTAATATTGATAAAGCTCATTGACATTTAGAGAAGAAAACATGCAATTTAAAAAGTCAAGAACATGTTTTTTATTCCTTTTCAAAGTTCAGCTTGTATTACAGAAACTGAAAATTGTACTGTGGAAAAAAAATAATTATGTATCAATTTTTCTTTATTAACCAGCAGGAAAAAGTAAGTAGTTTATCATATTGCAATCAGGAGAATGTTTCTTCATTAGTCTAACTGAAAATTAACAGTCAATTTTTACCTAGTAAAATACGCATTCCAATCAAGACATCGCTATTATTACGAATAGTGTAAAAAGCCTATTTTGGAATCGGTTGATTGTGGAGGTTGCTTTATTGCTGATAATGAAAGAGTTTTTAATTATGTCCAGGATTATTTGCTGTGTATACAAAGCAGAAAATAGGAGTAACCTTAGTTTTCTGTATTAGACAAGAAAGAAGAGTAGAATTTATAATACAAGTGAAAGGAGCCTTGGTAATATGTTTTTGGACAAATTTCTTCACACAACTTATTTTGTGCTTTTTGTAAACTGCTTACTAATTTCTTTTCAGCCCAAATCCATGGCATTTATTTCTAAATTTTGCATATAATCCTGCCTTGTGAAAACAGTTGTAGTTTTGCCATTAGCTTTAATGTCTGCAGATAAAACTTGAGCAGCCTCGTAGTCGAGAAATCCATTATGCAAATTTTTTTTAAAAGCAATAGAGTGTAAATTAAAATTTACTGTAAGATGTAGTAAAATGTCAGGAAGATTGACACTGAAGTATTGTTGGGGATTGATGGTTCAAATATATTTAAGTTCGTTTGAAATAGCAGTATCCACTTTAGACTAAGGCCTGTGGATAGAACATCAGTCACATGTGTAAAACAGTTATTTATTTTATTCAGTTTACTTAAATTGAATAATTCCATTTTTTTAATACAATAAGAAAGATTATAGGCGATCTGAATGAATCTGATCTCAAAACAAATGCTCTGAGTGATAGCTCCAGAAGGACAAACATGTATATGTTTATATACAAACATATACGTGTGTTTGTGTGTATATAAGTTATACTCGCCAATATTTGTCTAATGTGCTTTCAAAGATCATCACGATAATAAACTCTGATTGCTCTTTGCAGGGTGGTAGTAGCCCTTTCATTTTCCCTTGGGAAGCAGAGGCAAACATGGGAGAGAATTGGCTCTGAACCCAAAGGGATCTGGGCGGCCTCTGCCTGACCTGCGTGGAGACCCCTCAGTTTCTCCAGGCAGCCCATTCTGCTGCTTCAATGTTTTGAAATCTCTGGCTGTGACTTACGTCCATTATTCTTTATCCTACAGATACAGAATGTGGAGAGTGTATTCATTGCTATTTGTGACAATCTTGTCCATGTTTTAAGATTATTCTATCTGTGAGAGAATTCTTCAGTAGACTTAAATGATTGTGATCCCTTCAGTCTTTTCTCAGAAGTTGTTTTGCGGGCTCTCTGTTATTTTGTTGCTCTTCTTTTTGTGCAGTATGCAAAAAGGAGGCTCAGTTCTCCAGCTGAGACCTACTACTGCTGAGCAGAGTGGAAGGCTACTTCATTTTACTTCCTGAGAGCGCTCCTGTTTACGCATTTCCAGTAAAATACTTGAATTGTACCCTATTTTTTATCCAAACCACTTCTTCATTTTGTCAAGGTTGCTTTAAGTTGTAATGCCATCTCCAGTGAGCCTTACAGCTTCTCTTAGCTTGTCATTTGTAAATAATATTTGGAATAGACTTGTGCAGAAATCTACTAGATTCTTATCCTAAGTTTGATAATGAATCACTGACAAGTATTAAGTCAGGCGTGCCAACCTCTTAGGGATCTGCTTTGTGTAGTTTTAGAGTTTAAGGTCTTTTAAGACTTCTTTATGACAAATACTGTGAGACAGTGCTGTGTTCTTACAGCGTGCTTGACATCTGCTAATTCTCCCTTTCCGTGCGGCTTGGTGCCCTGTCAAAAGAGAATTTTTCATTGATTTGACATTTGTTCTTGACAAATCTGTTTTTTGTTTCTGGTGTTCTTACCTTGGTTGAAAAATTATGTGTCTTAGTAATTGTTGAACAAATAGTTTTATCTGGGAACAGAAGATAGTGATTAGTCTGTAGTGCTCTGACTAGAGTCCTCTTCCTTTTCTCTGTGGGTCGTCCCCCCCCCCTTTTCCCTGCTTAAGAATGGGTATAGAAATATACAGGTCCTCTGGAACTGTACCCATCCTCCAAACAGCTGGGAAAAGACACAAGTTAACTGCTTCAGAATTTTGCTGCATAGTTCCTTTTTTAATTTGTGTTGACAAGGTTAAAAGCTTTTAATAAAACTGCCTTCTTAAAAAAAAAATAGACTATCATCTGTATGTTTTAGTTGATTCATTTGGAAAATATCTATAAAGATGTTTTCCATACTGTGAATTATACCAAGCATTAGTAAAAAAAAGGTATTAAGTTATAATTTGAGTAAATTACAATATAGCACGTTCTAAAATGAAGTGGTGTTTGCTTAACTTGGCTGTAACATTAAGCATTTTGATAATGTAAGGGAAGCTGTCTTGTACTCTACAGAATTGCTTTTCCTTAGTAATTACAGGTAGCAAGGTGCTACTGTTGATCACACTCAAATTAATTTTATGACAGCATATGGTGAAAATTTGATGTGATTTATCAAATGTACTCATTTTCTGCATGTCAGTGATAATATATACGTGTGACCATATCTGATATTATTTTTAATTTGGGAAACCCTGTTTAAACATTTTTGTTATAAGTTTCTACCGCTTGAATATAAGTTATAATTAAACAGTCAATAGTGTTTAGGCATCTAGTACACCAACCTGTTCAATAGACATGAATTGGAAATTATCCCCCTAAAGTTGAAGGTTTCTGATTATTTATATTGTGTAAATATACGGCTTCACTGTATTGCAAGCAAAGACCTTGATTTTGGGTTTTGTGGAACAGTGTTGTACTCAGATAAGTGAAGAGCTTAAAACACTGCCAGAAATATAGGAGAGTCACTCTTACATTGGTGATTTCTAGTGTAAGGTATCTTGAAGTATTCAATGTTTTATGTGTACAGACATTTTTCAAGTCAGGCATGTTTTACAAATTTGGAAAAATCTGTTCCAGAAAAATCTATTTGGAAAATCAGTTGTTATAGATACTTTGTTTTGTTAACTACCTCTTACTTATAAATATGCACATCAGCATTTATGTGTTACTCTAAGAGTACTGGTTACTTATCGTTACTTATGGGAGACAACTGCAGCAGAATACAAGTTTGTAGTTAAGTAAGTGGCAAAAGAGTGAATTTAGATTTGATCTTTATCTCCCTCTAGTGACACAGACGTTTTCTTGTATACTTTTACCAGTGATGCCTGGAAGTTGTATTGTCATGAGTGCATATGCTGTCATCTGTGTAACTCTTTTCGATTTCTGACCGGAATGTAAAAAGAGTAACGTTTAAATCTATTTTTACGTTAAACAGAGGTTTCATGTCTGCTTTATAAAGGCAAAAAAGCTCATATTACTTGAATCTTTGGACAACCAGTGTAAATCCAGTGGACTGAGTTATTTATAAATGCATATACTAGGAAATATTAATGTTTAATGTATTGACTTCTCTAATGTCATAATAGAAGTGAACTATTTGCAAATAATGGTTACACTCAAAAGATTTTGCTCTTAATTAATGTTTAAATCTGATTAACCACAAAAGAGTTTAACTCTTAATTTGAATGCTGAAAAATGAATTTAGAGTGCCCCATAGTCATGGCAATACTTGGAGCAAATCTCCTTATTTACTGTAAACATATGCTTCCATGTTGATGATTTGTCCAAAGACTCCAGAGTCTTTTTATTTTATATGCAAATGGATGATGGTCTTTTTTAAAGAAATTGTTGGTATGTATAGAAAATAATTTGGATCTCAGCATTTCACTCATTCTTTTATTTTTGAAGGCACTGTGTTACAGAGATTGCAACAGATCTGCATCAACAGATCTGCATTCATGGTTATCTCAGACTAATTGTTGGATTGTGTTGACAGTGTAGTAGAAAGTACCGTGTTTATGCTTCCACTTGAAACTGTAAATGGTTTTGGTAGAACCTACCTGGAAGTTTCAGTGTAATTCTGTGGATTTGCTTTCTTATAGATTAAAACTAGTTTTGTACCTCAGTAAGTCTTTAAATGCTTTTAGGGAAATGGTATTCTGTCCTTTGAACAAGCAATTAAAATGATCTTTCCAGGTAATTTCCAGCTTCTTCAGGATATTTTATAATGCTTTTATGTAACTGTCTATACCTACCAATTTTAGGATAGTTATGAAGAAAGAAAACTTGGCACAACCTCCTTGGAAGCAAATCACTTCTCTCAAATCTCTCAGATCACTTGGTCTCACTAAGGGGCTTTCTCTGTTACAACAAATTCTGCACTCCCCGTTCTGGATCCCTACAAAAAAAGTCTTCCTTTCCATCATTCACAAGGTTTTCCATTTTTGTAGGACTTCTTTTGCTGGGCATCTGGCAGGGATTCTTGTTGGATTGATGTACACTATGGGACCTCTGAAAAAGATCATGAAAGCCTGTGCAGGTATATAATTTTGCTCAATTTGTAAAATCTGCATAAGAGACACTTTTATTTTTAAAATTCACTTGAGTCTTGCATGTAGAAATTCAGGCCATTCCGGCAAGTTTTTAGGCAGTTAAATATATGCTGATTATTAAAGTGAGCACAGAAGAAAAAAATCAACTTTTTTTTTCTTAAATATGGATGATAAGAACCAGTAAATGTGTCTTTCAGATATATTTACTTAGAGGAATACCATTTACCTTTCTTTTTAAATGTTTATGTAGAGTAAAATGTTTCACATAAGATGTCAATGAAAATGCCACTTCAAGTGAAGTGTGATGAAGCCATAAAAGCCATAAAAATATACCAGACCACAGTAAATTTCCATGTTGATTTCTACTACTTGAGTTCATTCTAGTGGAAGTCCCTACAGTTTGAAAAAGATTGTGGGATGCTTGAGAAATTGTTGCTGGAATTCTCAAGCTTTCCAACAATGTAATACTACAGCTTTTCATATTGTAGTAATGCTTATTTTAAAAGAAGATGGTATCTTTAGACATCTTTAGCTTAACAATTGTTTTAAATACAGCCCTGTGAACTTTTGTATGAACACTCCAATAAATTTCAGTGCTTTAATTCGAAGTCTAAGCCCTGTTACAATAGCTGTGCTGGGGTTGGTTGTCAGAATATTTGTTTTTTATGTCTGGTTACTTAATATGTTGAGTACTTTATTCATGACTATGCCATCAAGTTGACTGTGGATATGGTGTTTGTATAGTGGAAAATTATTTGTTCGGATGTGTATGCTTCTCACGGGAGGTTTTATTGCAGTTTGGTGATACAGTCTAAGTCATATACATTTAGCAGCTTTAAGTGGGAAAAATAGAGGCCGAAGCATCAGATTTCCTACCCCACTGGAGTGAACAGACATAGTGTCATGTTAGTTAAATGTTGATTTGCATGTTTCTGTGGCATGGGGGCCACTACCTGATGACTATTAGGACAGTCAAGCATCAGATCACTCTGCCTAGTGAGGTTCTGCAGTCTCGTCCATGAATGTTTTCAAGACTTGACAAGATAAAGCCCTGAGTAACCTTGTCTGGTTTCATAGCTAATCCTGCTCCGAGTGGGAACTGGGCTAAGCGCCTTCTGAGGTCCCTTCCAAATGGAGTTATTCTAGGATTCTGTGATAAAATCCACGGTACTGTTAGTGAAACGTGCTATGGAGATTCTGCTGCTGTGAAGATTGCTGTGTGACTAAAACCTGGAGGAAGGAGTGTTCCAGTGCACAGGTCATCTTTTTCTCCTATGTAGCAGAGCAGAAACAGTGCAGTGTTATTCCAGTCCTCAGTTTTCTGTGCTTTAACCCATGTTTACCAAGGTACAATCTCAGTGCAGAAATTATTCATTATATGTTCTGGAGAACATTTGTTAGGTTGGTTTGCATTTTTCTAGTCTACATGGATATGTTGCTTAAACATGGCACACTACTGTAAAATCTGGAATAAAGTACAAGCGTACCAATACTGTATTCTCTCACTGATGCCAAAAAAAAAGAAATTCGTAGGTACCCGTTGTTTCATATTTGTGTCTTATGAAACAAACTTTGAAAGAAAGATTTGATTTAATTTTTATTTTGTGTTTTATAAAGAGATACAATGCGATTATTTTACTCTAATAGTTCATGTATTATTCTTATATTTAGGTGGCATTTCTTCATTCACTGACCCTGCCAGGCCAAGGGACTACTACTATTCAGGTACGTACTCTCTCCCATTTCCCTGAAAACTTATTCCAACTTTAAAAATAGGGACATCATTTTTGCTAATGATAGAAAACCTAGAGAGGAGCTAGTTAAATGGCAACATATATAATACACAAAATATTCTGGACATATGTATGCTTGCTAAACTTACTACTTCTCTGGCCATGTCTCACCTTTCCTTTTTAGGGAACTATGTGGATGTATTTTTTGTACAAGAGGCTTTAAACCTCAAATACAGGTCATGACTTCATAAAATCCTATCCTGGGGAAATACCATCCCTTTTGCAGAAGGTGCAGTGGGGAAGAAATTGTGTCTACTGAAAGCAGCTTGTTGAACCTTGGTACATCTGCCCTGATCTGGCAAATTTAGCTGTTCCATTCTAGGATGGATTTTTTTCCCCTCTCTGACACTGAACTTGTTCCTTTGAACACTTTCTATAAATCAAGTAATTTCCATGCAAAAAGCCCACTCCTCACCTAAATAGATTTAGGCCATCTTCACAGTATATAGATGGGTAGTTGGAATACTGGCATACTTTGAATGTAGCACATTTGATTCATATCTCGTGCTGAATATTGAGTCATATGTGGAGTGTATAGAAATAATAAGTGGAGGCCTTGTCTGGGAGGGACAGAAGAGGAGTCAGCTGTGAAAAGAACTGTGTATTGGATCAAAACTAAGGGATGTATAGCCTAGCGTATCTTATCTCCTTCAGTGATTTATAGTTTTTCCTAGGCGACTGCTGTAAGAACAGGATAAATATGTAGTGATAACTCCCTCAACTGTCTGCCAGTGTGCAGTGGCTTGTGGCTTAAGGATCTGCTCAGCAGAAAGTTTTGTGGGGGAATTTTGTCTTTAATAGCCTGTGATGGATTATTCTTTCATGACTTTGTCAAAAGCTCTTTGAATTGGTGTGAACTCTTTTTAACACCTACAACATCACAGAAGAAGAATTTCACAGTTTTCTTCCTGGTGTAGAATCTGTCATTTTTGTTTGTTTTGAACCTGCTAACTGCTAATTTCATTTGATGCACATTAATTCTTCTCTGGGAAGGGAAACCAAACCTTCATTCTTTATGTACTTTCTTCATATTCTTTATGGTTTTATAGACTTTAGTAGTATACTCATGGTAGTCATCTTTCCTCTCTGGTTGAAAAGTTGTAGTTTGTAGGGTTGATTATATGAAAACTGTTTCATATCTTTGGTCATTTTTACTATTCTCTGATGTTTAGTCAAGCAGAGTTTTTTATTGTTTTATAATCTTTTATAAGTGAGATGTGCTTACTCTGAGCCACAGTGAGCTAGGGTTAGTGCTGCTTTTATTCTCCGTGACGAATTTTGTCTTCCATGATCTACCTCCAATTTTATCGTTATGTTAAGTAATTCCCACAAGCGAAATTATGTGCCCTTGAATATTTTTTAAGCATTTGTTTTGTAATTTCTTACAAAAAGATCTTCAGCTACTTTCCTTACCAAAAGCAACAAGGATTGTTGTAATTTAAAAGTATGCTTACCCAGGATTTCCATTATTCCAACTCTCAAGTCAAAACCCACTTGATCTAAAGGCCAGTAAAGAAGTAAAACACAATTAATATAGTGAAATGAAATAATATGTGAACCTAGACAATGTCATGAGCGTGAGCTACATCCATGACTGGCAGTCTCACCCCAGTTAAAGATACTCCGCTAGCTACAGGTGGTGTTCAGTCCACCAGGGCCTGGGTCTGCTGGGTGCATTGCTCTGTGTTCCACAGTCATAGAGACTAAATCTTCCTTCTGTATTTCAGTATAGCAGGGTGGGTGGAAACTCTATAAAAATTGATATCAGAAAAGGTACTTCAATGGCTAATGAAGATTAGAATTTGTACTTGACACTTAAACTCCATAATCTATTGCAGCCACTGTACAAACACCAACTGCTTGGAGCTTGGGTGGGTGTAAAAGACCACCCTTGTGGAATAGGAGCAGATTCTGAGTAGTGCTCTACTGTTTCTTTTCCAGGTCTTCTTAAGCAGGAAGAAGGGAAGGGATTTCATGTAATATATCTGGTATTATGGGGGACTGCATAGCATCTTTGTCAACTTTAGTTTGCTGACAACAAGGAAGTCTGGTTTTTTGGGGGCAGTCCCTGAAGTAGCCATGTTGTTGCTTTGAGTTGTTGTGGACAAAAGGCAGATGAAGGAGATGGTTAACCTGAATTATCCTGTCTTCCAAGCTTGGCTTTAGATGTAACTACGTTGTGTTTTGGGGCTTTTTTTGTACTAAATTCATTTCTCTAAAATGACTTAGAACTGCAGTTAAAAAACCCAATGTTTATTTGTTATGTTCATTCCCTCTGTATATACTTTGTAATTGTTTTTCATCCTATTTGCATTCCTTTATGGAAGGTGTAATCTTTTGCTTGGTGTATGATATATGTAATAAATTTGGCCATCTGTGAATTAAGAAAAATCTCTCTAGTGTCATAGGCTCATGATGCATATACAGGACATCCTTACCTTGATTAATTTTTCATTTTCTGTTATTGCTGATTTATTACTATCTGCCTTTAAATACCTATTTAAACAGAAAAATAAATGAAGCTATGATCAGAAGAGGTTTTATTAAACAGTACAAGGAAAGAGCTTTAGGAAAAAAAAGGATTCTAAGTGTAATTTTAACACGTTTAGTAAATGAATTCAGTTTTCTCTAAATGCAGTTCATGAATAAAGTATTAGACATTTATTTTGATTAATAGGAACACCTTGAACACGCTGATGTTACCAAATTGTTTCTCCTTTTTAAAATAAAAGATTACGGCTTTCTGAGCACTTACAACTTGATGACAGTGTAAAACATCAAACATACAAAAATTTACAATAAGAGAACAAAGTTAAAATATGACATCCTTTTTCTTTTATCAGATAATTTCATGCTTTTAGTACCAGAATTCTTATAGTCTCCATGCATGCGGTTTTGAAGCCACCAGAAAATAAATTTATAGCTGAGAAAATGTTCATTCAGATTAACATAAGGCAGAGGGGAATGAAGGGAATACATGAAGATTGCATCCAAAGTGTGTATATATATAACAGCTAAATAGTATCCTGCAGTCCGTTTTATTTTTCAGCAGAATTATGTCTCTTAAATGTAGCCAGTGTGACTTAAAGGCTTTTAAAGTTTGTTAAAAATGACTGTAATTCATACAGATTTAAAAAATAAAAATAATCTTTTCTAACCAGAGGAGGTGTTGATCATTTGAGAAATGGCAGAATCTCAGATTACTGGAGGGTAAGAAAAAGTGTTCACTGCAAATATATGAAAAGTCTCCCAATTCCAGTTGTATGTTCCAAAAAGAAAAAACTTGCAAATGGACAGAATTGCATTATTTTCGTCTAAGTGTGTGTATATAGGTGTGTATATATATACACATACATCTACATGTGTACATAAAATATGTAGGTATAATTGCATAATACACAGAGGAATATATATATTCCTGTATAGAATAGTGTGCAGTCGCTTTGTTCAATTTTTCCTGCTTTTCCTGTATAACTTTAAGACAGGGTATTGCTATTTTTATTTGTCTTAAGGTTCTAGAGCTTAGGATTTTTTTCTTTAACACAATGATTTTTTTTTTTAAAAAAGAAATTATTTGTGTCCTCACTTCATAGTCTGTGCTTGATAGTAATCACAGAAACTCCACAGGAAGGTTATGCATGGAATTCATATAACTCATAAGACAACACAAGACTATCGTTGGTGCTAATAATCTGCAGATAAAGAAAAATGGCGTGCTATATTTGTTTCATTCAAAAATATTTCCAATTATTTCATTCTGAAACACTTGTGTACGGTTCCTATCAGTTGGAAGAAACTGACTACGTTTCTGTATATTGGTTCTTCAGAATCCTCTGTCCAGCTGTCTGGAAGATAAATTAAAATATCACCCAAAGCTTTGTGTTTTGAAGATGCAAAAGTGGAATAGAAAAATGGGACTTTTCTCCTTGGTTTTTCTCAGTTTAGATTTTTCTGTGCTCAAGCGAGTTCAGATTGTGTTAGAAGGAAGAGAGTCTTGCTCGATTCTCTAGCCAAGTAATTTTTTTTCTTTTAAATCCTGCGTGTTTGGGCGGATGATAGTTTGTGCTCGTATTAGACAATCTTTGCAAATAGTCAGAAGTTCTTGGTTGTCAGTAGTGCAGGCAACATACAGTGATTGTGGCAGTGGATGAGATCTATGGTGTGGTGTGTTTTTGGCAGGGCAGATGTAGCTGTGCAATAGCACTATATTAGCAGTATATATTTCTGCAAATTTTGGCAGGAATCTTTTCCCATGTGTTTTCTAGGTCCAAACGTTATTGGAGTTTATTGTGACATTGGCATGTATCGTTTATGGGCACTAGGGGGAAGGGAGAGACAGGTAGGAAAAAGCCTGAAACCTACCTGTTTTGGTTTTGCTCTTCTAGTGACCTTAATAAGGTGTCCAAATATTGACAATTAAATGTTAAAAAGAGCTGATGAGAAGTGTCTTTCAATTTCTATGTGAAACTTCTTAATAGTGGCAATTCTATGACACTTACAACAGTTAAAAGAAAACTGAGATGTTTGATCCATCTTTTTCTGTTGTTTTTTTCTCTCCTGTTACCAATATCTGGCTTGGAAATTAGAAATTGATTCATGGCATGTATTGTATAAGTAATTGAATCCAAATAATTTTTTTCTTTTCCAAATTAAAATAATTTGTGGAAGAAAGATATCATAAAGATAATATCTGATTTCTCAGTCTCTTACTTAGTAGCAGCAGTTTATTTTCTTTATTTTGTATTCATTTTACAGAGTATTATGGGTATCCAGGTTACCAATACAGAACGCCAAGGAGCTATTATGATTATACCGGTGGGCTCACTGAAGAAGAACAGCTTGAAAGGGCGGTGCTAAACAGTCTTAATGAAAGAGGTAGGAATGTTATTGCATTTTATATTTTAAGTTATGATTCATACTGAGAAGGGGAGGGGGGCAGATGTATTGCTCATTATTTATTTTCAGTATTTTGGATGTATCTTTGGAAGCAGATTAAAGTTTCCTGGTGGAATTTTCACAGAATGCAGAGTGAGGATGCAGTAGCATTCTCTTAGTGTAATTGCATTTGTTCATAATTGTTCACCATTTGATTACCTTGCTACTACCATAGTAAAAGAAATGCTTTTATAACAAAAACCCTTTAAGTAAAGTAAGTTGCCGTGCCAAAAAAAGTTACGATACTCTAAAAAGCAGTATGAAGTGATATAATAGAAAAATTGACGTTGCCAATATTTAAACTTTCTCTGTGTGTATATTTTTGCTTTTATACAAATATAATTAACAAGCAATGTACTGACACTTACTCTCCACACTGTCCTTTTCTACCTTAAAGGAAGCTTATATTCTAGCTAGCTGAAAGTCATAAAAAAAAAAAAGATAGAAGTGTTTAGAAAGAAAAATGGTGTTTGTTTTTAAATTGAAATTCATTAGTTAAATTGGTATAAAATATATTCATTAGGATGTATTTAATCTTTTAATAATGCAAGTGAAATGAAGAAGGAAAGAATACTTTGTAGAATCTATTCCTCAGCTTCTGAAAACTTCAAGACTTGAGGGAATAGGACTGACAGCACATTATTACAGCATCGTGTAAAATTTACATCATGGTTATGAAATTTTTTATATTGAAGTGATAAAGGGCAGAAATGAACATAGTATATGTTTTCTGGTATTGAGAGAATTTTTCGTATCAAACAGTGCTTCATTTTAATCTGTTGCATGTCAATATGGATTCCTTTGGGAATTCAGCCAAAGGGTTTAGGTGCTCCTTAACTTACGAAATCTGAAAGATTTCTTTTAAATTTGGGGAAACTGTAACATTTAATCTTAAAAATAATTACCTGACTGAATATCTGTCAATGTCATTTTCCTTCTTTTTCATAATCTTGGTATTCTATCTTCATAGAACAAGCACAAGTCTATGGGGCCACATGGGATCCACCCAAGGGTACTGAGGGAGATGGCAAAAGTGCTCACCAAGCCGCTTTCCATCATTTGTCATCCTGGCTAATTGGGGAGGTCCCAGTTGACTGCAGGTTAGCAAATGTGATGCTCGTCCACAAGAAGGGCCAGAAGGAGGATCCAGGGAAGTACAGGCCTGTCAGTCTGACCTCAGTGCTGGGAAATGTTAGGGAGCAGATAACCTTGAGTGCCATTACGTGGCACATACAGGACAACCACGTGATCAGGCCCTGTCAGCATGGGTTCATGAAAGGCAGGTCCTGCTTGACAAACATGATCTCTTCTACTCTGCTCTTGTGAGACCCCACCTGGAGTACTGTGTCTAGCTCTGGAGCCCCCAACATAAGAAGGACATGGACCTGTTGGAGCAGGTCCAGAGGAGGGCCATGAAGATGATCGGAGGGTTGGAGTACCTCTGCTATGGAGACAGGCTGAGGAGAGTTGGGGTTGTTCAGCCTGGAGAAGAGAAGGCTCCGGGGAGACCTTATAGCAGCTTTCCAGTATCTGAAGGGGACCTACAAGAGAGCTGGAGAGGGACTTTTACAAGGGTGTGTAGTAATAGGATGAGGGGTAATGGCTTCAAACTGGAAGAGGGGAGATTTAGAATAGGTATTCGGAAGAAATGTCTTGCTATGAGGTTGGTGAGGCACTGGAACAAATTGCCCAGGGAACTTGTGGATGCCTCAACCCTGGAGGTGTTCAAGGCCAGGCTGGATGGGGCTCTGAGCAACCTGGTCTAGTGGAAGGCGTCCCTGCCCATGGCAGGAGGGGCTGTAACTAGATGATCTCTAAGGTCCCTTCCAACCTAAACCATTCTGTGATGCTACGATTGTCCCCCTATACTCAGCACTGGTGAGGCTGCACCTCAAGTACTGTGTTCAGTTTTGGGCCCCTCGCTACCGAAGAGACATTGAGGTGTTCGAGAGTGTCCAGAGAAGAGCAACAAAGCTGGTGCGGAGTCTGGAGCACAGGTCTTATGAGGAGCAGCTGAGGGAACTGGGGTTGTTTGGTCTGGAGAAAAGGAGGCTGAGGGGAGACCTTATCGCTCTCTGCAACTGCCTGAAAGGAGGTTGTAGACAGGAGGGGGTTGGTCTCTCCTCCCAAGTAGCAAGTGATGGGACAAGAGGAAAAGGCCTCAAGTTGTGCCAGGGGAGGTTTAGGGTGGATATTAGGAAAAATTTCTTGACCGAAAGGGTTATCAAGAATTGGAACAAGCTGCCCAGGGAAGTGGTGGGAGTCACCATCCCTGGAGGTATTCAAACGATGGGTAGTTGTGGTGCTTAGGGACATGGTTTAGCGGTGGTTTTGGCAGTGTTAGGTTGATGGCTGGATGTGATGATCTTAAAGGTGCCTTCTAACCTAGACAATTCTAGGATTCCTGGGTTCAAGGAAGCATTCATTAGGAAAGAGATACAGAAGCCTCTACTTGTAACTGCAAGACTTAAAATGCAGAGCACCATTCATAAATCTCTACTCAAAAAATTAATCTACACCACTGTGTTATGGCTGTCAGAGAAATACCAGGCAAAATATGAAAATGGATGTCTTGACAAATCGTCATCACTTTTACTTTCACACCTTCTGTGATCCTATTTTTTATTACGATGAACATGTCAAGTTATCTGGAAGATAGTTTTAAAAAGGCAGCAGATGAGGCAAGATTGTTATAGGGAAAGGCTTTTCCAGTTTGAGAAATTTGATAACATATTTTATAAAGTAAATACAGCTTTTTGCTTTATTAAGTTTGCATCTATTGTGGGAGCCACCTGGGAGGCAGAAGTGCAGACTTTTATGGAAATTAAGGGGGTTTAAATGATGGGTTTTTTCTGTCTATGTTCATTTTTGTGTTCACCTTTGTTCTTTAAGCATAGTTCTGTCTAACTTTCCCTCAACGTTGTGAAGCTAGAAACTTTAAAAAAAAAAATAATTCTGCAGGGTTATTACTGTAATATTGTTCTAGAAATGATTGCAGTCTAAGCAGTCCCATTTCAATGAAACTGTACTGAAAACCTTAGAGGATAGTGAGAATCTTAGCTTTAAAATAAATCAGTATCATTTAGTGCATCCGGTTCGTCAGCAGAAGATAGTGAATTACTTACTGTTCATGCTGTCTTAGGAATTTTTAAAAATTAACAAAGTCATCAATATATTGTCCTATGAAAGTACTAGATTTTGGGAAGGAATGGGTCTAAAATGAGCTTCATTGTAAGGGGTACTTTTTATTTTACTATTGTTTTTACATGCTATTTTACATCACTTTTAACATTGAGTTTGACAAATCCTTCAAAGTTTTTAATACTAAGTGTTTTGAAATGTTATCTTCAAGAATGAGCCATTTTAATGTTTTTTTGAAACGATCAAGGAAACAGAATACAAATAACAATGACAAAATTATAATAATATAAATAACTAGAGAGTGCACACTTTAAAGGCTTTCATATATCAGTATCAGTGTAGAACACCTGCAGCTTTCATTTGTAGCCTTAAACTGCATCACTCTAAGTATTTCTCGTCTGCTTGTTGGTTTTGGACAAAGATAAGTTTTCAACTATAAGAGGAAATACTTTCTTATTTGGAGAGTGCCCTCTGAAACATGAGATAGAATTTAAATAGCATCTCTAACTATATCTCACTGGTGGATAACTGTGGCATACCAGTTCGCATTTTTCACTCCTATTTGAGACAGCAGCATTTCTTAAGGCTATGATGGTGTCTGTTTTCAGTGCTAGTTATAGTTTTTAAGCCTCACAGATAAGTGAAGCAGGAAAATGTATCAATGTATATCGTTTCAAATATAGTTTGGTGTGATCAAATGTGTATAGATGTTGTTTTCAATGGTTTCACAGGAGTGCTTTAATTTTTCATCTCTTTCTTCTACCCGCTGGAGCACCTTAGTTTGGAAAAGTAAGACTTTAGAGCTGAACTCTTAAAATGTTTCTTTAAACAAGCTGCTTAAAGGTTAAGCTTGCCTATAGGCAGATGCCTTATTTCACTAAGAAAGTAATACAGAGCATGTAATTGATCATACCTGTTCTAGTGACACAAAGAATGAGGTGAAATTTACTGTGCTAACAAGTAATTAGGATATTCTTCCCTGTCAGTTACTTTGAAAAATAATTAGCTTGAATGAGCACTGTCCTTTGAACGCAATACATTTTTCCCTAAAGCATGACATTCACAGTTGCTTGCAATTATGTGGATGATGAAACAGGTCCTTAACATGACTAAAAATTATATAAAACAATTTGAAACAGATAGCTAAATGGATGTAAAAAGATGTACCACAATCAAAATTTAGGGCTCTTTCCATATTAATCTTTTTTTTTTTCCCAACTATGGCATTTGAACTATCACAGTTGCTCTGTAGCATGGAAAAAAACCAACTACTGCAGTCATTTCAATTGATTATTTTTTTTCCTTAGTTGGACAAATGCATTTATTAGGGGTTTTAGGACTTGAAATGTTGATCTGTTCTTTTAAATTACTGTGTTAGTATCCTATTAAGCTATTAAAAGAATCGGGGGCATAGTACAGAATTTCCTGGTATCAGTTGTCCACAAATGAAAACTAACTTGTGCTAAGACATGGATCAAATTTAAAGTCAGTAGTTACTCTTCTATAATCCCATACATAAGTTCTAAAGCCACCATAAAGGTACTGCATTTCTGTTATTCTGCATTCATGCATGCCTGAACTGCAATTCTCTTTTTATTCTATGTCCTGAAAAATTCTTAAATAACAATAAATAATTAGTATCTAATGCAACAGAAGAAATTGCTGGGCTTGTTTATAGGATTTATGTAGGCATCAGTTTTAAGACTATCAAACTGTCATAATGATTTAGGTCCATTTACTAAAAGGAACTGTTGCATTCTGTCCATTCCCAGTTTTAGCTACTTTGTTGTCTCAAACAA